GTAGTGATCCTTTGAAAATCCGTAACTGTACAGGATTATGGTCAACTAATATAGTGATTAATAGAGTATCGAACCCACAAAAACTATGTGTTTAACTGAATTAAAATTAATTACAACTTTAATCGAAGAACAAACAAAAATTGTGATTTTTTTTCAATACTAATAGCTAAATTATCACTAATGAAAGAAAGTAAATGTGTTTTTCAAATATGTGAGATGTATTGCTAAGATGTCAAATTCGCTATTATTCCATTTTTAGTGTAACAATTAAAGTGACAATTTGAAATCATTTATGTTGGTTAATATTTCTAACTTAATTGAAAGCCTCTCCCGATAGCNGTTAATATTTCTAACTTAATTGAAAGCCTCTCCCGATAGCGATCAAATATATTCCCCTCATGTGATCCTTCTATCTCTCGATAAAAGATGCAAATATGATAAATGCATTAACAAGTACTAGAACACATATTGAAACCATATAAAGTATAGAGGTATATCTATATTTTCTATCAAACTTTACAATGTTTATTATATTGTGCTTAAACTCTATTTTCTCTCTCGATAACAATAAAATCCACTAGCAATTCAATTGGTGATCAAGTAATAAAAAAGAACGATAAAACAATAATAAATATCCACAAATTAAATCAAATTAAAGTCAAAATAATTAATTAAAAACTGAAAATGTGATAACAAGTGTTCATCTCATCCTAACAATATATAAAACTAGCATAACTTATCGAAATTACAAGAAATTTTATTTAAGTGAAAAGACAACCCGGTTTTTTGATAAATTGAGAAAATTGAGATAAATCTTGAAATTTTGAATATCTTCAATGATTTTTTGATAAATCTCCACTTGTATCTTCTCTTCTTTGCCCAAAAAACAAGTTTGAATATTCAATCGATTGAATTCTTGCAAATTCCCCTCAATTCTCTCTCAAAAACTATAAATCTTCCTCCTTTAATGATAATAATTGATGAATTTTGGAGTATAAGATGTATATCAGAGGTCTCCAATATATATTCTGCTGTTAAGTACTTGTAGGAGTAAAAAACTAAGAAAAAACACGATCAAATTGGTTTACAAAAGAGTTCTAATCGAATAAGAAAAGTTGCTTTCGCGGCGGATTTTTTGTCTCTACATAGAAGTCAATATTTTGGCCATACCTTTCTCTCCCGATATCCGATTGAGATGATTAAAAGAGTTGGAAAACTAACTCAAAAGGCTACAACTTTGTTGGATGCAGAGTTTTTCCAATTTGGACATACTATGCTAAAAATGAATCTCAAATTTTGACTAAAATTTTGGAATATAACTTGTGTAATTGGAAATTGATTTTAATGAAAATTTGATCATATTTCATGCCTTTTTGAGTTCTAATTCCATCCAATTGTCTCCTAACAATCTTCAAAGTATCATCTTGTGATCCGAATCTATTATTAAATATTTTGCAATTTGTCCTCAAACTTTAGATTTTAACTTTTTTTCTTTAATTTTTCTTTAATTTCTTCTAATTCCTCGTTCAACCATTGAGTTTAACCTATATAACATAAAATACAATAATTTAGGATGTATTTTTTCAAAAGAATTGTCAATTATCGGTATTTTAGGCCCCGGATAAGTGTATAAACATAGTTTCATAATTCAAGTATTTTTACGTGTCCAATGTTTGAGTTCACTCTAGTTGAATTTTCGTGTATCAATGTGACATCTCTTTTTCGGTTGAGTTGAATTTTTTAGGTTTACAAAAGAATATTGTAAAATGCCAGTAGGATCGTACAGAAATTTAAAGTTAACGAAATGATAAGTTGTTTATTTGTTATTCACAGTAATGACAATTTTATGGTTTAAAAAGAAAATAATAATTTTGTCCTCCATTTTTAGCACTCTCAATTCCATCGCGACATTTTTCCGCCAACTTAAAGTAATTAAATATTGAAAGAAAAAATATGAATGCGCATTTAGAAGTTATTAATATCGAGCTAATACATGTCACTAGGCAAACTAAACTAAACTTAAAAAAAAATCCTTTGAAAAATAAAATATGCTGTGAGAATTCAAAAATATAAAGTACATGGTTACAGTTTTAGGTTAAAGCCAGTCACGATCAGTCAAGTTAGCTAAAAAATCAAGCTGATGTGAGTCATGATTATAACCCATCCAAAATATTTTTTTTCAATTGAACAGTTAGTCGAGTAATGCAATCTAGGTGACAATAAATTACGAATAAAATAAAAAGGTCTCCTCCTCTAACTTAGTGGTTTGAAATGCAGTGCTCTAAAATCTCAGTCTCTTCAAGGGACTGTACCCCGAGAATTGGTCAGACTCCCTTACCTCCAGACAATGTAAGTTCACTGCTTTCCTTTCTATTATAGAAAGAATAATGCTGTTTTTGCCGGATGTTTTTAACATATTGTATGATAGATTAAGTTATGGCAAAAAAATGATTGGCTGACAACGTTAACTACTCTTTAAACAATTTAATAATAGAATGCCACATGACATTCTGAAAACACAAATAATACAGTATATTTAACTAACTTAACTGTCAACATATTTGAATGTCATTTTACACAGTGACCTCTCTCGCAACTACCTCAACGGCACCATCCCTCGACAATGGGGTACCATGCAACAACTTGTAAACATGTATGACACTCTTCACCTCCCCACTTCTTTCTGTAATTCATATTTTCTGTATGTGTATATTTTTAAAGCAATTCTTGGGCTCTGGTACTAACATAATTTTGGTTCACAGCAGTTCCCTACTGGGAAATCGTATTACAGGTCCAATACTGGGCGAACTTGCCAACATCAGTACTCTCTCGGATCTGTAAACTTTCCTGATTACCATTTCACTTTACTCCCTTTTATATAAGTAGAATTTTGATTCAATGGATATGTTATTTAAGAATTCTCTTTTGTTTTTTGAAACTCTCAGAGTCCTGGAGTACAATCAATTGTCTGGAAATATTCCTCCAGAGTTTGGGAATTTTTCAAGCATACTGAGAATGTAAGGCCCTTTTACTGGAATAATTACGAATTTTATTTTATTCCCCAGAATTTTTAGATAGTTTCTTTGCTTATTATTGTGGATTTTGATTTGTTGTTTTGTAATGTTAATATGTGAAGACTATTGACGTCAAACAATCTAACTGGGGAATTGCCTGCTACTCTAGCAAAATTGACTACGTTGGAAGACTTGTAAGTTCCTTCATTTCACTTAGTTTTTCCATTTTTCAATCTTGAAATTTTTTACTTAGGACTTGTTTTTATTAATATGCAGTAGTATTGGTGATAACAAGTTTAGTGGAAGCATGCCAAATTTTATCCAGAACTGGACAAATTTAGAAAAATTGTGAGTGTCAATAGCTATCTGATTACACTCTCTATTCTTTCATCTACGTTTTTCGCCTTTGATTTTCTGAGTTTTTATTAATGCTAACCTCTTAACTTGAAATGCCAGAGCGATTCAGGCTAGCGGTTTGAGTGGGCCGATCCCTTCAGGCTTTGCTTCCCTGACCAAATTGACCGACGTGTGAGTACATATTACAGTTTATTGACATTGGGCATATGAGTGGCATACGATCTTATTGAAGTGGTAACAAATCAAGTTTTATTTTGAGAAATAAAAGAAGAACTCTTTTTGAATGGTTTTTCGCAAATATTCTTGTGAATCTAAATCTGCAGGAGAATCAGTGATTTGAATGGCAATGACTCAACTTTTCCTCCTCTTAATAGCAATAGAAACCTGAAGACACTGTGAGTATGATGGTTTTTGATGCTTATATGTTGCTTTCAAGGAGAACAAACATTGCTTGTGCGTTACTCGATGAATCTGGTTTTTTCAGGATTCTGAGGAGCTGCAATATCATTGGTCAGATACCAAGTTATGTCGGGACACTGACTAATTTGAAACTCTTGTTAGTACAATTCTTCCCTTTCCTACGATCATGACTTGTAGATTTGTTCTCAAATGCTATTCTCTATTATGAAAGCTTTTCAACTCATTATTCTGTGCTGGAAGTAAGTTTAAAATCCTCAATCATTCTGATTCTTTGAATTACTGTCATATCACTATTAGAATTTTCATTGAACATTTAGAAATTTTCATATCATTGGAGTATTAACTAGAGGTACTGCCGAAATCTCTAGACCTTTCTAATGGAGAAATCAAACTCAATGAGAATTTGATTCTACTGAGTAGTACACATCATGGACATCCTACATTACTATGTTATAAACACTTGTATGTAACTGTTGAGAGTGAAGATTTTCTCATAATGTAAATATTCCATTCAAACTTGAAGTTTTGCTGTCTATGTATGTAGACGATAGTTTAGAAGGCCATTTAATTAAATGATTTAGATAACAAATCATTTTAAGCCATGAGGAAAAGGAACTCTATATTTAAGAGGCTCAATGAACTCTTTTGGTCTCTCGTCGCCTTAAAATTATACATCTGATAAACAATAATGCTTGCTGTATCGTGAAGTATTTTGAATTTTAAACAATTGAATTTGTTATTTGTAGTATTTCACTTTTCACATAATACCAGGAAGCACTTAGTTTCTCTTCTGCAGCCTTTGAGAATTTTTCTTTGTATAAGCTTTGATTCATTGACGTATGAAATGAAATAATTCGAGGAAAGAAAGCTTTTGCAAATACATCTTGTAAGTCATTTTGTAATTATTTTTTTCTTGCAGAGACCTCAGTTTCAACAAACTAAGTGGACCAATTCCTGACAATTTTATGGGCCAAGCAAACACGGATTACATGTAAGGATTTCAATTAGCAAGCCTTCATAGCCAATTTTCATTTCATTTGATCCATTTTCTTAAAGAAGAATTAATAAATAAATTTGAAACGAAGACAATGTCACAGCCTGAGATGGCCTTGCAAACTTCAATTCCACTTAATAGCCTAACACTATGCTACATGAAAGTCAAATTTACACCGTTAAGCATGCAAGGGACTAAAATGGACACTTTTAAGCTAGCTATGGAAATAGCTTATCCTTTCTGGTACAGAAACTGGAAATCCTTTTTGACCTCTACCTGCCTTCATTTCCTTTAGTCTTCAAGACGGCAGTGGTGGGAGGGTAGGGACGTGGGTTCTTAATTTCATGAGATATCTCATTTCATTTTAGTTTACCTTGTTAAATTGAAGTTCCTCCCAGATTTGAGTTGTCAAAGATAGTATTTTTCAACCTTGTTATTCGACTCAATGGTCTTGGCAATTTAAAGAATTAAAAGTCCTTGTGGAACCTGTTCATCTTGTGGAGATTAAACACCGAACATTTGTTTTGGTCAAGATACTCTGCATGTGAATATAAATTGATCCATTTGAAATTCTAGGAATAGAACACTATCAGAAAATTAGAGTTAATGTTATTTTTATGCTCTGCTAATACATGTTCTTCATTTTGCCAGTTATCTAACTGGGAACTCCCTAACTGGTCCATTGCCTCCTTGGATGCTAAAAGATGGAGAATTCATGTGAGTCAATCTCTTTTTACCTTTCTTACTAATAACTTCAAACTACAGACCATTGTTTTTCCTATATTGTGATGCTCATCTATAGATACGTTAGTCACGACCTTCAAATAATATCGACCATCATGTGAGGCTAATATCATAGTGATTCAGTCATACCTTGTGTATGATTAATCTCAGTCGTACCTCGTGTATGGTTAATCTTTTTTTTTTTTTTTGGATATCTTGGTTGGTTTGGCTTGATCTCCATCCTGAATTAGCATTTTTCTTTGCCTTTGGAAGAGATGTGTATAATGAATTCTCCTATATATTTGCCTTGTTGCTACTATCATTTGTAAATGGTTACAGTTACTCTTATGTAGTCAACGTTTTTAGTTAATAGAATTCCCATTAAAAGAAAAACAGAACCTACCCAGCTCTTTCTTTGGTCCTTGATTTCAAAATCCCTAACCTTAAGAAAGCTTTGGGATTCTGCAGTACCAAGTTGGTTTATAGTTCCTGGAATTCTGTGAAAGGTAAATTTAGTTGGACCATAGAAGCAATCGTGAAGAATGGGCTTAGAGTTTTGCCTGTCTGCTGTATTAAGGTAAAGAAAGGGTAATAGTAATCATAGAGAAGACAAACTTAACTTACAAAATTCTGTCAATAAGTCCTGAAATTTGTACTTGAATTCCTTTTGTATCTGCTTGTTCAGTTAATTCAATAACCTTTTTCATTGCTCTTCGAAATGAAACTCTATTCCAGTCTCACAACAGTATTGGTGCAAAAACAGAATCCGTCCTTCACTTGCGGATCGTTTGCGACAGTGTTCTTGATTGTATAATTTTCATAAAATTAAAGTGCAAGACAAATAGACATCATAATTGACTATCTTTTCGATTTTTATCTAGTGATCTATCCTACAACAACCTCACATCTGAAAGCACGCCCTCAAATTGTCAACCACGTAAAATGTAAGACACTTTCACTATTCTTGGAATTATAATTTGATTATTTTCCAAGCTTCCACATTTTAGTAATACTGCACCCCTTTTTGCAGGAACTTGTTCGAAAGCTCAAAGGGAAATACAACGTGAGTTTCTATGATTCTTTCATGCTCTGTTTCCTATGATTTCTCAGTCTTTCCTTTTCATATATACCATGTTTCAATATGATCCGACCCTGACTAGTTCTAACACTACATTATTTTCCCAGTGGTATCACATCTTGTTTAAGGAGCTTTCACTGCGAGAAAAGTAAGTTAAAGTTCACTTCTACTGGATTGCCTAACTTATGTCTTTAAGGTTGGCCACTTTGTTTTGATTGTATTTGAAGTCAAATAAGAACTTTACAGCAATTACAATATGCAAAATGATATAGGATGAAAACATCTAAGAGAGGGCATATAAATCATCATGTCATTGTAACAAAAAAGTGCGGAATTAAAACTCCTCTTTGATCATTAGAACTACACTACACGCTGTGGATGATCGGTAATAAGCTGTTACAGCTTATATTGAAAATTAGTATGAAAATATTTGAAGCCAAATTCCTGTCTTCTGACGATTATAAAATGTACATTGGCTGGATTTACGATTAACTGTGCCAGACAACAATGGAAGTGTGGAGGATTACATGGGAATTTTCTGAGTGATCTGACATATTAATTTTCCATCTAGAAAATAACTCATGTTCTTTTCCTTTGTGTTGGTTTGTCTCATCGGAACTTTGACATTAGTAGCACAAAAGTATTGTATTCTGCAAGCTGGTTCAAGGGATTTTACCATATGCTTGTATAATAGTGCACACACCGGTGGTGTAGTCAGTTGAACATTGTTGAGGGTGCTTCTGGACTTCCATACAAAATAATTTTGCACAAGAAAAAACAAATTATTTCTTTTCTGTGTGCGCATTCAGTTTCCTTGTATTTTCCCTCCTTTGTAGCCCTCTTTTATCTTCTCAAACTGAGAGAACTCATTTTATGGATTGTTTTTCAGAGTATTACTCTTTCCATATAAATTGTGGTGGAAGAGAAGTAAAAGTTGATGATAAAGGTACTACATATGAAGCGGACGGCGAATCTGGTGGACCATCTAATTTCGTGCAGAGTAAGACTAACTGGGCATTTAGCAGCACAGGTCACTTCCTGGATGATGAACGCAGTAGAGATTCTTACATCTGGGAGAACGTGTCTAGTATCTCTGGGCAGGATCCTCAGCTGTACATGAATGCACGACTTTCTCCTCTGTCACTGACATATTATGGATTTTGTCTGGAAAACGGAAACTATACAGTAAACCTTCACTTTGCGGAGATCATGTTTACTGATGACAGAACATATAGTAGTCTCGGAAGGCGCATATTTGATGTTTATGTTCAGGTAATCACATACCAACAACCATTATTCACTAGAGAAAAATGTCATTTGTGAAAGATACTCTTATAGATGATAGAAGTTTTTCTGTATCAATAGGTTAAATTTTGTTGTTGTTAATAGATGGAGATCAATTTTAGCTTTTTGTTTTTCTTTTATGGTAATTTAGACTCTCTCAATATCATAAGAAGATCTATACTATATATGGGTTAAATTATTTCAGGGAAAGCTGGTGCGGAAGGATTTCAATATTGAAGATGAAGCAGGTGGAGTTAACAAGGCAATTTTTAGAACCTTCACTGCTTCTGTCACTGATAATACCTTGGAGATCCGCTTCTACTGGGCTGGAAAAGGGACTATTGGCATCCCAAATAGAGGAGTATATGGTCCACTCATTTCGGCTATCTCTGTTAATCCTGGTATGCTATGATTTATCTTGAGATTCTTGTAAACAGTAATTTTTTTTCTCTAGTGGTGTAGCCCCCTTTTTATTGAGACTAACGTAAACGATTGGAATTCAATGTTACTGTCTGGCGTTCATTTCATAGAGTATGACATGTTAGTGTTGGTACACATCACTCCTCTTCATGTTTATTTAGCTTTCTCTGATCTTAGTTTGTTTCTACTATGTATTGTTGTGGCTTCTATTTTGTGATTTCGGAGCGCTTTCAATTTCTTTTTTAGGATCATTGGCTTCAAAAAATTTAAAAATTCAATGCATAACCTCAGTTTTCCCACTGTTTCTTTTGTTCTAACCAGATGAAAAAAAATCGGTGAATTTATACGTTAGTTGGAGATTTTCTTAGAATATTATACTAAGGTCTTAGGATAATAATTAAGTAGCCAAAATGTCTCCTTGACTATTTCTCTTGTTTCTCTCTACTCTGTTCAGATTTTCCAGTACCATCAGAAAATGGAAACATGTCTACTGGCGCTATAGTTGGGATAGTTATTGCAGTTCTGTTTACCATTTTTCTACTTCTGGGAATTCTTTGGTGGAAGGGTTGCTTGGGATCCAAAGATACTACAGCACAAGGTATTGTATAAGCTTTTTATTTTTCGTGTGTTGTATGTCATAGGCAGTCGTGTGTGAGTGATGTATCCATGACCCAGTGCAATCTAGTCAACTCTTTCAATTATTTCGTTATAGATTAGAAAGAGAGTTTTCAGTTGTCTTGAACACTTCTTGACGTTTTTGACAGATCTAAAGGGTCTAGACCTACACACTGGATCATTTACCCTAAGGCAAATCAAAGCCGCCACAAACAATTTTGATCCTACAAACAAGATTGGAGAAGGTGGTTTTGGTCCCGTGTACAAGGTATCCCAAGGAAGAGCTATTTTTTGAATCTACTATGTTTTGGTCCCTTGAATCCTCTTTTGACATTATGTATTGTTTGAAGGGTCTCCTGTCAGATGGAACCATCATAGCTGTGAAGCAGCTTTCTTCTAAATCAAAGCAAGGGAACCGTGAGTTTGTGAACGAAATAGGCATGATTTCTGCTCTACAACACCCTCATCTTGTAAAGCTGCATGGATGCTGTATCGAAGGCAACCAGTTGTTGCTTGTGTACGAATACATGGAAAATAACAGCCTTGCTCGTGCTTTATTTGGTAACGCTAGAAGAAAAAAAAGGCTCATCTTCGTTGCTTTTATTCCAGTTCTGAAATTGAAATGCATAATTATGTAAACGTAATCCTTTGTTATCTAATTAGTATATTTGTGTGCAATCGAGTGTTCTCAGGGCCAGAAGAACACCAGTTGAAATTGGATTGGCCTACAAGGCACAAGATCTGTATTGGTATAGCAAGAGGATTGGCTTATCTTCATGAGGAATCAAGATTAAAAATTGTCCATCGGGACATCAAGGCTACAAATGTCCTTCTTGATAAAAATCTTCATCCAAAAATATCTGATTTCGGTCTTGCCAAGCTTGATGAAGAAGATAATACCCATATAAGCACCCGTATCGCTGGAACTTTGTAAGTAGTATAATGCTCTTCGTTCTTTCTTTTTAACTAATCAGTGACAAAACTATCCTATTTTGAATTATTCTACATGTACATCAGGGTTTACACCCCAGTGTACATAATGCCCGAGTGGCATTTTATCGTTGGCCAGTGGAAACACTTGGGCGTTATGTACACTTGGCAGTTTTTTCCACCAGCCAATGATGAAATTGTTCACCAAAGTGTAAACCCCGATGTACATGTAGCAAAACCCTCCTATTTTTGCTCCTTTTTCTTCCATTGTATTCGGTTTCTTTTCTTTTCTTATTTTTGACGAGTGTCTTCTCCTTTTCTATATAACTTGGTCTGAAATTATACTATGTACTTTAAAAATGCATGACGTTTCCATGTGTTATGATCTCTCAGTGGATATATGGCACCAGAATATGCTATGCGAGGCTATTTGACTGATAAAGCAGATGTATACAGTTTCGGAATTGTTATTCTGGAAATTGTCAGTGGTAGAAGCAACACTAGTGTTAGGACAAAAGGGGAGCCTTTCTATCTTCTTGATTGGGTAACTTAGTTGCTATTAATTTTCCGCATTTACGTACTGATCGACTTCGGTTTTGTTGTTATAAATCAACGTACAGCAAGCTGTACGCATTCCTACTTATGTTCGTATAAACTCTGACGAGCTCTTTGTTTCTTATTTTTTAGGCTAATTCCTTGAAGGCCAAAGGAGAATTAATGGAACTGGTTGATCCAAGATTGGAATCAAACTTCAGTAAAAAAGAGGTGATCACGACTATCAATGTAGCGCTCCATTGTACCAATGCTGTAGCAGCTGAAAGGCCAAGTATGTCAACAGTCGTAAGCATACTCGAAGGAAGAGAGCGTGTTCAAGGATTTGTACCAGACTCAAGTGTTTCAATGGACGATATGAAGCCTAAGAGTCAAGACCAAGTAACAAAGTCGAATGATGATCAAAACCAGAGTGTTTCAATGGATGTTCCTTGGACAGCTTCCTCATCCTCGTCCGCTGATCTGTATCCGATCACTTTGGATACTAATTACTGGGAGAAGAGAATGTAAAAGGTCACATTTCTATATTAACGCTTTTTGTCCTGATATTTCGTTTTGTTTACAGACATTGTAAATTTGTCATTTTTCTCTTTCTCCTGGAAATTCCGTTGAAGATTTTATCTTTGTTCTTGCATCAAGGATTTGTTTGATCCTTACTCTGTTTGTACATTTTGAGTTTATTTGAATGCATTTCTTAAAAAGAACTAAATATTGGAATAAATTATTTTTACAAAAGTTTTACTTTAAATGACCTTTTATGTATGGTTGATATACAGGATTGGTCAAGATCGGCTCATAATAGGATTAATGTCCATCAAGTTAATCGACTACTGGTCGAGAATAAAATTAAAAAATGGCAAAAAGGGTAATATTTATATATTACGAAGAAAAAAATTGATACGACGTGATAAATTACAATTAATAATATCCATAAAGAACAAATTCACAATATATATATATACATAAGAAGCCTTTACGTAAAAGGGAGCAGAAAGAAAAATAAAATAAAAATGCCCCCAATTATTAATAGCCAATGATGAGAAAAAAAATGTTCCTGTCATTACAAGAAACGGGTCCTTGGCTATGATGGCCATGAAAATTAATTTGTAAGCCAAATTCAGTACACACCAACCCAAACTACTCCTTTTATATATAGTCTTTTCTTTCAATTAATTTTCTTCATAAAATGGAATACAAATTAATCTGTAGTTTCTGGTCTTTTGCCTACGTTTATTTGTTAATTTTATGTTTATTCAAAAATGCCTCGGCGCTAGTCGTGCATTTTGATCACCAGTTACGAGGGGCGCGAATGAGTGGCTGCGATTTTTTCCAAGGGAGTTGGATTTATGATGATACATATCCTCTATACAATTCTTCAATGTGTTCATTTATTGACAATCAGTTTGATTGTGAGGGAAATGGTAGAATTGATAAACTCTACCTTAAGTACAAATGGAAGCCCCAAGGATGTGAACTCCCCAAGTACGTATTACATTCTGAACTTCTTATTTCTAAACATATTTAAATAAGTTACTTTTTTACTACTTTCAAGTAACTCTTACATTGCGCATGGATTCTAGAGGCAAAGCTACCAGATGGGTAGGGGTGGCGAACGCACCAGCAACATTTTTTTTTTAATATATACATGATACATGTATCAACATTTTTTTTTTACCACCTTACGTGAAAATCATCGCTCCGCCATCGGTGGATTCTGAATTAAGTAAAAATGTACGCGCAGATTTAATGGACAAGATTTCTTGGAGAGAATGAAGGGGAAGAAGATAATGTTTGTAGGGGACTCTCTTAGCCTCAACCAATGGCAATCCCTCACATGTATGTTGCATGCAGCAGTCCCCCAATCAAACTTCTCTTTGCAGAGGAGAGGAGACCTCTCTACTTTTTATTTTCAGGTGGGTTCGTTTCTCGCTCTTGCGGTTGAAGTTTAAACTTTTAAATGGGATGATGATAAAAAAATTACAAGTTTTTTTAAAACGGAAGTATAATGATTTAACAAAAAGCACCCTGTGAAAAAATGCAGGATTACAACATTTCTTTGATGTTATTTCGCAACGCATTTCTAGTAGATTTAGTGAAAGAGAAGATGGGAAGAATTCTTAAGCTTGATTCCATCCAAGATGGAAACTCATGGAAAGGGTTGGATATGCTCATTTTCAATACATGGCATTGGTGGCTCCATAAAGGAAGCGCGAAACCGTTAGAATTTTTTTTTTTCCCAGATTCGAATGTCATCTTTAGTATGTTGATTTATACACGACTAGAGAAGACATCAGATAAATTGTTGTTACATGTCTCTCTTCCTTAATCATGTCTGAGTCTAACATAAATATATCTTGGTAATTTTCTATCTGTCTCCCTTTTTAATTGCTTTTGATTTCAGATGGGATTACATCCAAAAAGGAGGTAAATTGTACAAAGACATGGATCGTTTGATTGCATTCAGTGAGGGACTAAAAACTTGGTCAAAGTGGGTGGATTCAAATATAGATCCCTCCCGGACCAAAGTATTCTTTCAAGGCATCTCTCCTACCCATTACAAGTAAGAAACTTTCTTTTTTAAAAAAAAAAAAATGAGAACTTCTTCGACTCCGTCTATTGAATTGATAGAAATGTTGTCGTCGCTAACTGAAATGATGTCATTACATGAAAAAAATTGTTTATACGCCCCCGTTTGGCATCCCTTTTTTTCTATTTTTTGAACAGGAACTTAACTAATGTGTGGGCCCCAACGTCCTTGAACCTGTCAACAACACCTGACACCCGTCCATTATTTCCTTAATTCCAAAAATGCCTTGACAAAAAAAACGTACTGCTTTGAGGTGTTGTTCACTGTTGCAAATTGATTGGAGGGCAAAATCGGTAGTTTTATGGCAAGAATCTGTACTTTGACGAAATTAATGTACTGCTTCTATTTTTTCAGTACAACTTCACTGTAGCAAAATGAAAAATTTTCCAAAAAAATGAGATTCAAACGGGACTACATTATTTTTATCGCTAACCAAGCAAAAATATATCTTCTTGTACTAAACTTTCTTTTTTTTTCCTTCTTTGGTTAAACGCATTTTCTCTTGTTGGACTATTTTCATTATAATTCAATAAAAGAGAGTGCTTCCAAATTGAAACAAAAATAAAAATTCATTGACTAATTTGAAACGAAAAGAATGCGATGATCAGGGTAAAAAACGCTATAAATTGAGCAACGTTTTTTTCTAACCCATAACTCTTTTCGAAATCTTGTTTGATACGTGACCCTTATTTTTGCCTATATTTTGCGCAGTGGTGCTGAGTGGAATGCATCAAAAGGAACCACATGCAACAGTGAAACTAAGCCCATTACCGGCTCAGTGTACCCGGGAGGATCGCCGCCACCAGTGGCCGTGGTAAAAGGAGTGTTAAGCAAGATGTCGACTGCAGTGGAATTGCTAGATGTAACTCAACTTTCACAGCTTAGAAAAGATGGGCATCCATCAATATATGGCATTGGTGGGGCTAAAGGGAACGACTGCAGTCACTGGTGTCTTGCTGGTGTACCTGATACTTGGAATCAATTGTTCTATGCAATTCTTGTTACAAATGGAAAATCAAAAATCTAAATTTCTATTGTTTGTTAGAATTCAATGAGAAAGAAAATGATTTCTTACCAAGGCTCTAATCATGTTAAATGTTATTCTTAAGCAACCCAATTGAACATGATTAAGATATAGCAATATAAATTATAAGCAATTTCTTCGTGGTGTGACATTTAACTGTACTAATTAAATAATTCTAGTTTATTATTGTATTCGACTTGACAACATATTGTGATGGTTACAATCAGCAGCAGTAGCGACACTCTCGACAGCGAACGCCTAAAATGAACGAGGTTTACGATCGATTTGTTGAAAACAATTGAAAATGGTAATGATAGTAGATGAAGTAGAGTAATATCAATTTTGTAAAACTATTTATATAATATATTTAGGCCGTGTTTGATGGGCTTTAAATTCCATGGAACTTGGAATTTAAGTTCCATTTTCCACAAAATGACTTGTTTGATGTGTAAAATTTGGATGGGAATTGGTTTTCTTGATCTGCACCCAAGCGCCTTTTTTTTTCCTTATTTTGGGAAAATCAATTCCCACCAATTTTGTGGGAATTGATTTTCTAGTTGANAATTTCCATGTAAAACAAAATCAAACGAACACTAAACTTTGATTAAAAAAATGATTTTTTAGGGAAAAAATTTCGTTTTTTTTTTTTTACTTTTCGGCAATGGAAACAAATTTTATAACCAATTGTGGAAAACATTATCACTTTAATAAACAATTTTCATGTAAAATAAAGTCAAACAAACACAAAATTTTAAAAATTTTCAGGTGAAAAATTACACCAATCAGACACACTTAATTAACAATTCCTTGTAAAACAATTTCTAGACAATTACTTTCTCTAAAATTCATTTTCTTTTCACTTTTTTTACACATTTACAATCAAACGGACCCTTAATGACGATCGAAAGAAAATGTATTTTGTCGTCATTCTTTCTTTCAATAAAATTGTACGACATGATGTTGACGACGGCAAAAAACTACGTAGGTCAACAAAAATGTAATATATTGTTGTATTCAATTCATTAACTTTTTGTGTTCATTTGAAAATCTTCTTTACTTTAATCATTGATAATATTTGGAAGATACAATCAAGAATCTATTAATAATTGGACCGATTCCTAATCTATCAGCATCCCGTACAACTGATTCATAACCTTCAAATTCTGATGCAAAACTCTCTAACCAACAATGTCCTTGTGCGAATGATCCCTTCTGAATGGCTTCCATATGACTTTAAAAAGTCAAATTTTTTTTTTTTTAATCGAATAGGAGAAAATGCATTTACTTTATATTTATATAGTGGAAAATAAAAGAAAAAGAAAAGGAAATCCACCTAGGTAAAAAAAATATAAAAGACTAAATATATTCACAACTCTAATTTTAAATAATTAGACTACATTTTAATTGTACGAAAAGGTTCATATTACACATTATGTCTTAAATTGTTTTTTCATCGCATTCTGATTTCAAATTACTTTTCAAAATTTTCTTTAAGATAGAGTAAAAAAAAAACAAACCTATTTACCCATTATATTTTAAATAAGCAAAACAAATAATAAGGCGAAAATAAGTTTAACAATTTTTGGAGGAAAGGTGATTAAGGACAAGATTTTCTAATCAATGAAATATTAAAAATAAGAATGTGACGAAAAAAAAGTTAAGAATATGAGTGGTTGTTTGTTTCTGATTCTCAAAATCAATTTTCAAATTTGTGACGAAAAAAAAAGTTAAGAATATGAGTGGTTGTTTGTTTCTGATTCTCAAAATCAATTTTCAAATCAATTCTCATTTTCAACCACACATTTTTCAATAAAATAATATTTTTCATCACTTCAATAATTTTTTCTTCTTTTTTAACCACACATTTCTCATCATATCACTATTCAAAATCAATTCTTCCCCCAAAAATTCCTACCAAACAAGCACTAAGTATGATAATAAATATAATTCAAATGTCGTGTGAATATAACCACCCGTATAAAAAAGTAAAAAATATATATATACAAGAAATTAAAAAAAATGAAAAATAGTAATTTATCTTCTTTCCAAACACCCAACTACCCCATAAGGATATGCGTGTGATAATAAATAAAGGTTAATGACATTTAGCCCCTGTTTGATGGGGATTAAAATCAAATTTTTAGTAAATTTTGATAAAAATTAATGAAATATGTGATTAAAATTAATTGTTGACTTGGACTTAAATTAAAATATAAATTTTAATCCTTACCAAACATGTGCTTAATGTAATTCAAACGTGGTGCGAATATAACCAACTGTTTAAAAAAGAAAAAAAAATGAAATTATATACAAGAAATAAAAATAATAATTGGAACCCCAATTCAAATGTGGTGTGTGAATATAACCACTTATATAAAAAAGAAAAATATATATACAGAAATGATCTAATGAGCACCGGTGCTCATCTTATCCTAAGCACCAATGAGTTGGCACATTAATTCATTGGTGGATTGGAACTCACAAAATCTTTATCCACCAATGAATTAATGTGCCAACTCATCGGTGCTTAGGATAAGATGAGCACCGGTGCTCATTAGATCATTTCTGTATATATATATTATATATAAGAAATAAAAAAATAATTGGAAAATATTGATTCATCTTCCCGATAACAAAAAGGTTAGGGACAACGTTGTCAAGAAATAAATGTTAAAAGTGAAAAGGAAGATAAAGATTGAGGATGGTGAGGGATAATTTTTCTTCAGCATTTGTGAAAAAAGTATTGGAAATTCACTTAACATACACATCGGAAAATAAAACAAATGTCAATTTTCACCAAGGATTTTCTTTGTGTTTAGAGGGTAACTGTGATAGAAATTATGAGCTTGTTTGGGAGGGATTAAAATCAGATTAAAATTGAAAATATAGTCGTTGAAGTTGACTTTTATTAGACAAGTGGAACCCAATAACGGCTATATTTTCAATTTTAATTGGATTTTAATACTTCCCAAACAAGCTCTATATATTTTGTAGATTTTGCAAATTTCTTTGCTGATCTTGGAACGCGAACAATCATGATCTGTAATCTACAACTGTCCAATTATCGGCCTCCAATGAAAATCCACTCAGGGAATAAGAATAAGAGAATTAGGATTTTCTTTTCTTTGTACTAGCAAGAATATGAATTGTGATGTTCTGTTCTATTTTTTTGAAACACTAATGATTTATTAATATAAGTCCAAATGAGCTTGATCTGTCTTTTAAACTTAACCGATTCAATATTTAATTAATCCAATTAATTAAATTTGGTCCACGAATTAATTAATCCAATTAATTAACTATACAACATTTGTTAATTAATTAATTGATGAATTTCATTCTTCCAGTTCTCATTTTATGTTTGACTCATTAAATTCCCGATCACGATACCTAACGACGAGAATTATTATTTTGATCTAATTAAAATCAATAAATTAAAATACCAAACTTGTTCGTTTACCATAAAACTATAATCATTTTGTCAATATAATCCGATCAATTACGAGATATGGATATGTGTCATCTCAATTATCGATCATATTTTTTATCTCATTATTAAGTCAATGTAAGTTGAAAACTCATTTTAGACTTGTGAGTACACCTTCACAATGATTTCGTTATTAACTTAACTAAACGAAATGTAGATCATAATTTCTTACTATCCAAGAGTGACGAATCATCTATTGATCATTCACAACATTCGTATGATTCTTGACATACCGATGTCGTATTAGCGAGAGCAACATCCAACATCACCAAGTATAATTGTTCTCATATAAGGTACTATGATGACCTCAAGTCCAATGATCAATTCCACTGAATGTTAGAGATTAATCACTGACACTCAAATAGTTATCCACATGGAATCTCTCTAACGGATCTCCAATGTTTTGTTCAATAATAAAACATTCACGTGTTCATTTAAATGTCACTACACTTTAACTCGTGAGATCAACTACTTACTTCACAAGTAAAAAATGACACACATTATGGTTTATCCGTAATAACGATATCCGTATATCAACTACTTACTTCACAAGTAAGAAATGACACACATTATGGTTTATCCGTATATCGTTATTACTTACGATCACAGATGATTTAAGATTCAATCATATGTAATTTGTATCTCACAATTACAACTCTATGTGATTAACAAATTACAAAGACTTAAATTTACGAATTCTGTTATTTAAATTATTAAAATATTAATTCAATTAAATAATAAATCTTATCATAAATATGTTTCAATTATAAATGAAGTGTAGAATTAAACTACTCTACCACGCCTGTAAAAGGCTTGGTATTGTGGTTGCCAGGTGGGTCCATTCAACCACCACCACCCACTCCCGCACGGCTCACCCTATACCCACCGTTATTGCCACCCAATTCATGCCAAAAGTTCCGTACGTTTTTGCACAGAACTGTCAAAACACTGAAAAATAACACATTAATTGTGAATAATTCTGAATATTAATCACATCCCTGAAAAAATCTGCCCCCATTCTCACTCGTTCCATGTCAAAATCAGTTGTTTTCACCCTATCCGTCAATGGCTCAACCACCACCTCCGCCGCCGCCGCAGTCCACTATTTCCGCCACCACTAGCTCCGTACTTTCTTCCTCTTCCGATTCCACTTCCCCCAGACCCTATATCGTACCGTTAGTCCTCTCTTCTTCATCTTCGTCCGACATGTTGAACTTTCTCTGGGTCGCCCTTTTGATTGCTCTCGCCAGAGAGCTTACTGCTTCTGCTAATGCTCAATCAGATGTGCCACTACTCTTGCCGAGTGAGTCAGACTCGTTTCCGAGAATCCAGCGGTGCCCGGCAGCGGATCCTCAGCTTAACTATCGTCCGGTTATAGGGATTCTCAGCCATCCTGGAGATGGTGCCTCGGGCCGCCTGAATAACGCCACGAATGCATCCTATATTGCTGCCTCGTACGTGAAATTTGTGGAATCAGCTGGTGCTAGGGTCATTCCACTTATCTACAATGAACCCCGGAAGATTCTATATGAAGTAAAACCCCTCTTCTTCTTGAACTATTTTTTGAACCTGCTTGATTAATATCATTTGATGGGCAATAGTACTTCATTAGTATCTGTTAACAAGACTCTTAGTTAGGGGTGGGCGTGGTCAACCCAACCCAACCCAAGCCCAACATTGTCGGGTTGCTCAAAATTTAACCCAACCCAACCCAACCCATGTAAATGTCGAAACCC